ACTTGTTTTTGCGGAACAGGTTTTATTGCACATGCTGCGAAAGGTCGTGCGAAAAGTTAGATTTTGTGTCAGGATATTTGCCTCCAACCACTGAGATCATAGATTTCCGCGCATGCCATGCCATGAGAAGCTTTAGAAACCCCTTTGTACAATACTGAAAGTCGTGCCGTCATACTTACTTGTACTTGTACTTGATACGGCTGCGATCATGCCTGATCTAGTCGGCCACGATGATGTCCCGAACTGTACCTCTCCACGCGTGACGATCCTCGGCAGCAGATCTGGACAGCTCAACCCATTCCCTTCGCCAACGACGGAGACCGAATACCGAAGGTCTAAGAACCATCTCCATGTCTTGATGGACAGTGTCGAGCCAGGTTTTGAACTGACCCCCTCTTCGACGCCTCCAATGGGGCAACGGTGCCAGATCGAGGACAGTAACACTGAGCTCCTGAGGTGGACGGCGAAGAACATGCCCGAACCACCTCAGTCGTCTTTCTTGGATGGCCTGAGTTATCCTTGGGATGTTGTCGCAGCGAGCGCGGACTGTCTCATTTGAGACGAATTCGGTGAACTTCACTCGAAGGATGGTCCTCAAGCAGTGGTGGACAAATACCTCCAGTTTTCGCTGGTCCTCCACGCGCAAAGCCCAGCATTCACAACCGTAGAGAAGGACAGACCGGACAGATGCACGGTACACGCGAATCTTAGTGGCGATGGAGAGGTCACGTCGGTTCCACAGGCATTTCCGAAGGCTTGAAAAAACCCAGCGGGCTGCATCGATTAAGGAGACAGTGTCATCCTTTCTCCGTCCATTAGGCAGCAGCCTCGCCCCAAGGTATTTAAAACTGTCTACTTCTTCAAGTTGACAGCCATCAGTCCCGAGGGGTGCCTTATCCTGGTCAGGGATGCAGCTTGAGAACACTTTGGTCTTCCCAGCGTTTATGGATAAACCGACCGATTTAGCGACTTCGTTCACCCGTAACACCATAGACTGCAGATCACCAAAACTTGAAGTAAGGCGATATTATCGGCATAGTCGAGATCAGTCAGGCGATGTCCGGGTGCGAATTCAACACCATCACTCTCGCGCGGGGCCCTCCCGAGGATCCAGTCAATAGCGTAGTTGAACAGTATTGGTGACAGGATACAACCCTGTCGGACGCCAAACCGAAGACCGAACGGTTGGGAAAGATTGTTGCGGACCAGGACTCTCGCAGTGGTGGAGCGGTAGTAGGCCTTGATCATGGCGATGATTTTTGCCGGTACACCATCTAGCGCCATTATCCGCCACAGGGACTCACGGTTAACGGAATCGAACGCGGCGGCAAAGTCAATGAAGCAGACGGCCGTCGGTTGTTGGTAGCTATGGCGAAATTCGAGAATGCGCCTCAGTGTGAATATCTGGTCTGCGCATCCACGTCCAGCACGAAATCCGGCTTGATTGGGCCTCGTCCATGAGTCACGCACAACCTGGAACCGCCTGAGTAGGACAATAACGAAGATCTTCGAAGCAACGTCGATGGGACTTATGCCGCGGTAGTCCTCGCATCTCGTCTTATCTGCCTTCTTGAGGATATGTACAAGGATGCCTAAGCGCCAGTCATCAGGAACAACCTCGTCTCTCCACGCTCGTTCAATCACCTCATGGAGCCAGGGCACCAGAGTGTCGACACAAGACTTAAAGATTTCAGCGGGTATACCGTCCTCTCCGGGTGCCTTGTTATTGCGCAATTTTTGTATGGCATCGGCGACTTCTCCCTTGGAGGGCGGATCGCATGTCACAGCCGTCATACATGAGATGCGACGCAAGACTACTAACATCATGGTGCTCATAGGAAAACCTGCTATCATGGTCAGTCAGTGCGCCCACAAAAATGCGCCTGGTTGTGAATTTCTTCCAAATATTTTACAATGCTGATCAGAAATAAGATGGTTTAAAGGTCATATTTGTGCTGCCTTATGGAAAGAACCGTATGCGTTTCTTATTCATGAGAGGTTTTGTGTTTTCATGAATGCCTTCTTTATTAAGGTGTTAATAATGTGTGTTAATAAGCGGTATGGATTCAACTAGTATGACAGTTATGGGCCGTTTTGCAACTTTGCTGCGGAATACGTAACTTGGATATTCTAAGCTAACTACATGCAGCAAAAAAAAACAGTAGTGTCAATTCAATGCACACAGACGGATGTTTACGTTTACACGTTTTGAAGATGCGCATTTCGGTTCTGGGCAATTATAGGTCGTATTGCAGCTGAGAATTTATTCGGCCACTTTCATGGCAAAACTGCTACTTCAGTGCATTAGAAAGCAATACGGTGAACGAAAGACACGTCTGCTCAACCAAACTATCTGAGATGAGTATACGAAGGGTGGTATCACGGGGAGAGCTCAAACAAGCGCTGTACTCATGGTCATTGTTGGAGAGCTAAACTATGTAAGAGCCCACACAATCTGTAAAACTTCAGCTAAAAATGATGCACTAAGCAATTAACAACTAATAGCACAGAGAGCACAGAATCTCGACAACTTGGACGTACATAAAATTACCGTAAGAATACACTATCGACTTATGATCAATAACTTTGTATTTTCATTCGGGGGATTTTTTAGGCCTTATGGGAATTTGTCCCTGACGTCGTTGAGAACTTAAGGTATAAACATCTGTCCGAAATCAGTTCTTCTTTTGAATGTGCACCGATGTAGTTAGTCAGATGATTTTATCGGTTAGAATTTCCTTTGTGTTTTTTTTATCGCGCTGAGTTAGCCAACTTTCTTCTTACTCGTCGCCAAGGTCAACGAAGCCTACTTTTCGAAATCTCGGCAATTTGCCTTTTAAGGACTGATAGGCTAAGGTGAACAAAGTTTGACAGACCTTAGCTTCTGCTGAT